AACTTCGAGGGATAAGAAAGGGTCCAGTACCGATAATTTATACTGAAGTTCCCGGTGGCACCGTGCCACAGTACTAACCCAACTCTAGTTTGGAATATTGATGCCGTCTGAAATAAGCGATTTTCTAATCCGATAGTCCCCTCGTAAATTACATTTCACGTAACTTTGTTCTGGAGTGTCTTATGGAAGTACGGGGCCCGATCCAGCTTGATTTCAAGCTAGGTCGCCCCTGAAACTATACAACGACGTCCAGATGCCTCGAATTGCCTTCCTGTTGATCAAACAAATGTGAAACGACTCTGGAATTCTAACGCGTGTGGCACTCCGAGAGGCCCTCACTGTACAGGGTACTCTAGGGTATTTGGTGGATTTTACTTACAACGAGTTCGGGAGTTCTGAAGTTTGAGAGACCCAGAACTTGATAACACATCGCGTATTTTCCATGCGTTCCATAAATCCCCTAAGGTTAAATACAAAGTTAAGTGTGGGATCCTTTGCATTGTTCTTGAGTTTTCGCGTGGACACTTCAGACTGAGCCTGCTTATAGTCTAGACTGGGTAGCAAATCCTAGTGAGCCAACCGGCCTGGGAGATGGCACACCCGGGAGGTCCCCTCCTAGCTCGCAATAACTATACAGCGATTCTATCGTGTAAGCTGCTCGTCTCTGAGCGTTGATTTTCGCCTCCGAGTCACCTGCAAACGTATACCAGCGCTCCTATCGGATTGATATCGCCAGAGGAGGTCCAAATCTGACATACGTACTCCTAGAAATTAGCGATGTCCGGATTGTCATCATCGTAGTTCCTCATTTTGTACCAGTGTCGTCCTCGTGTTGATTCCTGTTCAGCAGCTCTGGCCTTATGCCTTATGGCCCACATAGGAGGTGGCTTCAGAAGTCGTCCAACATCACCTGTTTTTCCCCCTCTGTGCTCCTTGTTGTGAGCTATTCATAGCATGGCCGAACTAGTATTCCGAACGGCAAACTAGATGGGTAATGTTTTAATGTCGAACTTACATCAGACGTCGACCTCTCACCAGGACTAACCCCATTGCAAGCATTTTCGTGGAGTTGTGGCGTAGAATATCGGGTTGTCTTGAAAGTATCCAGGACACTCAACACAGGACGCATTCCGAGGACGCATTCTGAGGACGTTGTCAGACGTTGATACTAGGACACAGTACATGCTCAGATCTGCAGCCGCCGACGGTACTAAGGTAAGCTTTCCACGTCAAAAATCCCCGTTTGAACTTGTGTCTGCTGCAGGACCGCGAATCTTCAGATGTAAAGGATTTTCAATTGAACCTCGACGCTCCGTTCACAACTTTGGGAAGGCTACCAGACGAGAGAGCTTGATAAACCGCCTGCGGCTCACTTGCTCTATGGGACCTGAAGGGACTGCGCATGCGTATCTTCTTCCTGGTTATGTATTGATTCTGAATATTGAATATTGAACGGTTGCACAACGCTTAGCACTCTTTTCTCACGATTGATATATGCCCTGAATTTTTCTGTTCGTGATTTTCTTCTTTATAGGTCGACGACGTTGACATTCTCTCACCGCCCACTCTTTACCTACACTGTCACTCCTTTGAATCATCACCGCCTTGCTAACTTGACAAAAGGTGAGCATGATTTCAAAGGCACTCATCTACTAGTTTCAAGTTCACAACTTATACTTTGCAGTTTTACCTCCAATCCTACATTCCTATTCAACACAATGGTTTCTTCGTTCTCTCTCGCCCTGCTCCTTGCTTCTGCAGCCTCTACTCTCCTTGTTCGCGCTGACGTTGTTCCCGACACCCCTGCCACTGGAACGGCAGGTTCGACGTGCTCGATTACTTGGACAGGCGATTCTAGCTCAAGCTCTAACTGGTCCGATATGGCCATCGAATTCATGACCGGAGACAACTTTGACATGGTCTTCCTAACCAGTACGCGAGCTTCCTCTCGAGTGTTGTAATTTCTCTGACGACATAACTTATTTGCAGCTGTCGCTACCGGTTTGGATGGGACGAAGTCCGGTTCTTACAGCTGGACTTGCCCCGAGGTTAACCCGTACTCTGCCATCTACTTCTACCAGTTCGTTTCGCCAGTCGAAAGTGGGAACCCTGTCTGGACTACTCGCTTTGCCATCGCGTCTTCATCAGGAGAAACTACGACACCACCTAATAGCACTCAACCTGATGGTGAAGCCATTCCTTGGGGTACTGGTGCGCTCGTTGACGTATCCAGTGTGAGCGCTGTACCGTCTTTTGCGAGCGGTGTGACTTCTGGTAGCGTTCCCGCTACTTCGGCCTCCGCCTCAGTTTCAGTTTCATCCTCGTCGTCAAGTGCCGCTGCCTCGTCCGTGTCCACTAGTGCCGCAAGTGCTAGTAAAAGCGCTGGTGTTGTGACTGTTTCTGGTAACACTTCCGGTGCTGCAGGTGCTAAAACTACTACTACTTCTGTTTCCACTACCGGGGCGGACGAAGCTGCGTCAACCCCGAGCTCCGCAAATGCTGGGCTTGTCCTTGCTGTTGATGCACGGGTATGGACAGCTACTTTCGGCGTCATAAGCTCTGCGATGGCTCTTGCCCTGTTCTTGTGACAGGTCACAGAACGTTCAGCGCCAGCGCTCAGGTCATATTCATCTTGTGCTTGGCGATGTTAAATTCCAATGGACGTAGAGCGTACCGCGATGTTTCACCTGGGTTAGATGGAGAGTAGACTTTTTCAATGGCGAATCATGACAACGAAGCTTCCATCATCCATGTTTCCATAACGCGCTAATCTGTCCTCATTGGCGCGTATATGATATCTTCTGTTCGTGTTCGTTTTTTTATTTCGGGGTTCTTGTGCCGCCTATATGCTATAATACCACCTGTTGCTTCCCATCAGTCTACGTACCACATGGATCACCATCTATGTACATTTCATCCAACTTGGAAATTATACACTGCACGTAGTTAGGATAACGCAATATTGCATTCATGATAAACGGTCTACATCTTACACTAGCACCTAGGTTGAATAATGATATGTTATATACATCTCGCTCACAGACAGTTGTTGACCATCAGACCCCCGATCCTTGAACTTATAGTTCATCTTTGGGTGCCGACGCGGGCTCTGGTTCAGATGCTTGTTCCGATGCTTGTTCCTCGACTTCTAATGGTTCTGGGGTAGCAGCTGGTGCTGGCTCACTTGCAGCAGATGCTGCTTGCTCCTTTGCATCACCAGTTTCTACCGCCGGTTTCACTGCTATCGACTCACTTCCAGTCGCCTTTTTCTTTTTCTGAGGTAGGTCTCCCAACATTCCCGGGTACCCTTGAGAGCCGTGCGGATTATGGCCCTTCTTCAAAGCGTCCTCAAAATCAATAAAGTTGGCGAATCCCCCGTGTGCGAGAGCGATCCGTTGAGCTTCCTGTTTTCGCTCAATTTCAAGTTCAGCTTCGTCGGGAACGAATTCCTCAGAAGCAGCTTCTTCATTGACGATTTTCAAGTCAGCGGTGCCATCAATGACCGATTCGAAGAATTTGGAAAGGGAGTCAAGTTTGTTAATGCCTAGTATAAGTTTAGACGACCGACTTCTGATGAGATGTATAGTATAACACGTAACTGACCTTCGTATCGCACAGGCGTCGTCGATCCAGGTGGGTAGATGAGGACCTTGGATGATTTCTGTTCGCCTGCTTCATAGCCCAATGCAACAGAACTCTTTCCCTTGCGATCACGATGCGAAGCAAGTTCAATCTTCCCGGCAAATTTGTTGCCTAGGACTGTCCATAATAAAGGAATTATTTTTTCCTTGGTGAGAAGGAGTGCGCGAGGAAGCCCACGTTCTGCACTCTGATACGAACCATTAGCTCGACCTCAAAGACGGAGTAGAACAGTGTCGTACCTCTTCTGCCCATCCTTGGATATCATTCAATTGTCCAATTTTTTTGACATGGTTAGGAACACGTCTCGATGCCCAGTAAAAGAATGAGCTTGCTGTCCGATCACCAGAATCATATGTAAGTGGGTTGAGTTGTTTTCCTCGAGGATACAGCTGAGCGTTGACAGTATTAGAGAAGTGTCAAGGCAAAAAATATTGACTTGCCTTGATTGTTGGGAATCCTTGAACCCCCTACGCGTACTTGTGAGCGAAGTATGACATGGCCACTTACAGAACGCACCTGTTCGCTACACAAGCGCTTGTTGGCTTCGGCGTCGCAATCGACAGCGTATGTAGGAATGAGAGGGTAAAGACCTAATGCAGCCTTGCTGTACTCTGGAGCCATACGCTGACAGTGCTGATTCGCAATATGAGTACCCTGGGATAGGTGGAATAAATCGGACTCACACCACACCAAGGTGCTACAAATGCAACCATACTAGTTTCCTAGGCCAGATTGAGTGTGCTGCTCCGATTATAAGTGAGATAGTACAAACATTGGCCTTCATAGCTTTCCTGAACCCCTTTGGATCGAGCATCTTGACCACAGTGTCCTTTGGAAATATTGCAGCTGAGGCCGAAAGGGCCAGCGACAGTGCGACGAGTAAAGTGTTCCGCATTTGTAGTTACAGGGATGAGAGATCGCGTAGTTCACTTTTTATTCGAGGGCTGAAAGGAAGTTCCACGTCAGTGTGGGAATATTACACGTCCCGTGATCGGGACCTCGGAAATCATGGTAGCCTTATTCTGGGACCGGATGGTTTGGTATTTGAGTGGGATATACGAGATAAAAGGTGGGAAGAGAAGGGAGTATTAACCTAGAGGAACGCGTTGACCACTGCCTGCCGGAAGGCCCGGGCCGGGAAATGACACCTCCTCCTTGTCGTTCCTCTCAATCGATCTTCCGTGTCAAAGAATTTTTGAATGACTTTGAGAAGCATGCTACGGTCTGCGCATAGCAGCACATCGAGCAATCAGAGCCTTATAGACTCCAAGATTCTGCATCACTTACTGTGTTTGTTTGGACGTTTGTTCTGGGTCCGGGGGAAAGTTCAAAGGCTCTTATACCTGCCCTTATATCAAGCTCGCTTAGCTCAGTGGTAGAGCATTGTACTTATGAGGTTGAGATAACACCTGCGCACATCATGCAAGGGTCGGCAGTTCGACCCTGCCAGTGAGCATTGTTTTTGCTTTTCTAGACCAGCTGCGAATTGCACCAGATTGCACCCCACGTTGCTTGAGATGTCCTCTGATTTGTTTTTTACGGACGTATGTATACTCTTTACCCAGATCAATCAGTATATGTTCATAATGTGATACAATTGAATACTTTGTTCTTCGATCATTCAAGAGCATTCAAGTTGGTTATCTCAGACTTTTTAGTTAATTCTAGGCAGGTAAGTAATGGTACTGTTTGCAATGACATTCATCATCCAGAAATAAATCAACCGTAGCCACTCATATTGTACACAATAGCTTCTGGAAAGTTTGCCAAGAAATTTAGAAGTCTCGCCTGAGGTTGGCAGTAGTGTAGTACTCCCAAGTTATCTAAATATCGTCATTACATTCCAGGTATTCCCGGAGCATTCCCGATTTGCCGACAACGACGTAGAGCATGCACAATTAACCCTGGAATTTTAGCCCTTCGCGTCCGGTAACCTCATGTTCAATGCATGTTCCATGCAAGTTCCATCATTAGCTGCTGTGTTTTGAGATGGAATCTGAACGGATAACCTGCAATGCAATGCTACTCGGCGCGTGAGGTAGCAGCAAGGCTCACAGAAAACATGCAGGCATCGTGTAGCTCCTTATCGCTCCATACTTAATGCTCATCATCGTAAGATATTTCAATCCCAATTGCCACCACCCTTACCTTCCGATTAAGTTTGCTGGTCACCAGAGAATGTTCCCTGTTTCCGACTTTAGTTTTGTCTATTGTGGAATGGCGACGGTTGCTGCGACGATGGGATATGTTTATGCCAAAAGGCGAAGAGTAGAACCGTAAATATTGTTTCATCTTTTCTAGATATGTATGCTCAATCTCGATGTAGTTACAGTCATTCGCTGGCTTTGGGGGATACGGCTTCACTAAATGATGACAGGGTCTTTGCTATGGAAAGCACCGCAGCCAATTCGAAGTCAGACAGCGAAACACACTTGTCCAACTCCCCGGAAGAAATCGAAACACAGAGTATGACCGTCGACACTACAACCACGGTGCCCGCTGCCTGGAGTCTAGAGCCGATAATCAGCATTCCGAATCCACCTGTAGCTAGAGGACCGTCGTTAAAGCGTAAGCAGATGCACGATCACGATGAAAACAATGTCGTATGTCCTGTCCATTTGGCGAAAAAGTACGAGCCGTTGATCTTTGAACATTGACAGCTGTTGGAGTATCCATACGTATGTGGGCTATGTCTCTTTGCTGAACCAAGCGCTGAATTTCTTGTATAGAATCTCGCGGCACTGTACCCTAACAAACGCTGCAAAACCCCACCTTCGTTGCAGACGATTGAGCCTACGATTCCCTTGCCCAAGGAATCCACAGAGGTGAATCCAATAACTTTTGCCAGACAGAATTATAGTAGTGCTGACCTCCAACTTACAGCGTAGCAATGAAACCGTAGCCAATCCTAAGCCGACTCCAGAAATTCTGACTGAGTCAGTAGGTGATTCGTTGGAACAACCTGCTAGTAAACGACAACGACATGGAAGCGAAGAGTTGGAATGTTCACAAGCCCAGCGTGATGATAAACCTCCGTTGATAGCAACTCAACTCCATTCTTCGACAGACTCGCAAGGTGAATGCGCACCCCAGGTTCCTCCAACGAATGATGTTTTATCATACAAGGTAAAGTCTTCCACATAGATATTGGCCTCAGAGCTCAAGAGCTCATGTTCTATTCCAGCCTTCTGTTGCGACACTGGATCCGACACCACCAACGCCACCCCAGTTTAGCTCTGAAAAGTTCGTTCCAAGGACAGAGAAAAACGCGCTAGAATCCCAGAGTCCAGCTGCGTCCTCTTCCCGGGCAGCAAAAGCAACACCAGCGTCGCAAACATTTGCATTTGAAGGGTTTGCGACTGCAACACCTGCTGTATTCAACAACGAAACGGTGGCCTCGGGAGCAAACATGAGACCAGTGTGGTCTACAACCAACAGTTTCAGAAAGCGACATTCTTTCGTCAACAATCCTGATGATGTTACTGCAAGTTCGGATAGTGGAGAAGCCCACGCCCTTGGCTTGGCTTCCCGCGGGGACTCACCATCTTACACCCGTCAGTATTTCCGCCAGCAGGAAAAGGAAGCACGCTTATTCAACAGATAGATGTGACCGGAGAGGAAGACGAGGACGTTCAGAGCGAGTTGAGGGGTGTTAAATTGTTTGTAAAACGCGGCAGCAATGATTACTCGAGTGGTATTTTGGGACAGGTCAAGTACTTGTCAGATAAGAAGACTTTGGTTCAGCGGCTTCGTGAGTTTGACTGCGAGCATATTTTGGTCCTAGCGCTAATGTACAAGCTTCAGTGTTCCGTCGAGAACCTTTACGGAAGGTATCCATGAACATTCGTCTGCAACCTGCGGTTCGGTGCACATTCGATCCCCAGGAGTGCATCCTCAGACTCTTGCTGGCAGAGTCATCAGAATCGAAGGCATCAGGCAGAACAGAAATCGTTGTTTATGCTTTGAAGGTATGGAAACGTTTTATCTACCTCAGTCCGTTTCATTTACCGCGTGAAGCCGGGAAGGTTTTGTTCAAGGAAGGACTTTCAAACATTTTCAGAGTCTGTAATGGGGAATTCGAGCTTGAAGACAGTAGCAACATCAAGCACGGGCGATGAAGGTTCAAAAGAAGGCTCGAGAGAAGTCCAGAGTTGAACTCGAACAGTAATCCAAGCAGGTTCTTGAGGGATAATTTATCACATGTCACTGTAAATTACTAAGGTTGTTTCAACCGTCATGGGCAATTATTTTGTTATAATTGACTGGCTAGATAGCTTGTTACTCTTTCACCCAGGATGTCAGCACTCACTGATATCTTGCCCGTTGAGACTTTACACGAAGTTGTATCTTCGTTGGATTCACCTTCTGACATCTTGTCTTTCGGAATCTCAAGCAAAGCCCTAGCGGACATTGCCATTCCTCACCACCTCAAATTCCGCGTGTTTCGTGTCCGTATATCTCGTTCTGCGGCGATCTGGCGCTTCTTTTCTCAAGCAGATCTGACCGCAGGTGAAGTTCGCGAACTCGATATCCTACCTGAAAACATTTCAGATGTGTGCCATGGAGATTATGGTCCAGATCGTTGGATGGCCGAGCCTTTGGTCCCTCCAAAGGAACTCTTTGAAGGAGGACAGGCTCAACATTTCAAAGGCAGACAATCATTTGAGCAAACGAGAAGAGATGAAATGCTCCTTATTGATGCTGTGAAGCGAATGAAGAATCTCCGGCGTTTTGGATGGTATCGATCACCGCCCCCCGTAATTGTCGAACAAGACGATCTTTGGCACACTTTGGACACCCTAGGAAGCTTAGAAGAGCTGGATGTTGTTGATGAGCCGTTTTCGGTGCTTACTCATGCGCCGGCTGGTTATATAGCTGTAAAGCCGCTAGCCAGCACGGAAACGGTGCGTGATTATCTTGTACTTCACTGATATCGCAGCTGAAAAATTTACATCTGGTAGTTTCTTAGTCTGAGAGGGCTCAAGAATCTCACCATTTGTACTCATGCTTATGACCAAAAGCAAGATAAGGTAGATTTAACTGGCATTGTTGGAATGCTTGTAGGCAACAAAGACTTGGAGGTACGAGTCATTTTCTGTCGGTTTCTTGTAAGTTCCCAAACTGTCGCTGTTTAGAAATTAGATCTGCGACTCAAATCACCTATGACATTGTCAATAACACCTCTGATCATTACCGCAAAATGGAACCGGTTATGCATCCTCCACATTTCTGGCCGAGTTCACTGTATTCCCTCTGCATTTTTGGAATTTCTTCACGCCCATCCGCTCATCGAGGAATTAGCGTTAGCTCCATTGATAGTCGGGAAACGATGGTTTCGAAAACTAAAAAGACCGCCCTCAGAGCCTCTTCTGCCTCACCTGAAGCGTTTACGGTGTAAGATCTTCCATGTAGTTTGGCTGGTGGAACATGGCGCAGGAGCAATAGTTATTGAACTCACTGGAGTATCATTGCCTGAGCAAATCATCATGAACGACGTATTCTTTGATGATCCAGATGAAGTAGACGAGGGGGACGAAGATGACGTTGTGCTCGATCATTCGGGCGAGGAGATACCGTCTCCCTTTCGCGGACCCTTTTTGGATATTCTGAAGACCAACCGGCTGCCTCTGCTGACCAAACTCGGTATACGGGGCAATCAAAACGATGTTCGAGACGTCGCAGCAGCATTTCCGCACATCCGCGAACTCATCCTCGACTCTTCGGTACCTCAAGTCGAATTAGTGCGTCCAAAATTTCCATAGCGCAAGAATCTTTGGCTTACCCAGTTTTGCAGGATACAATTCTTCCTCACTTGACTTCATTCCCTGCTCTTACGGTTCTCAAAGCGTCCGCCCTGTTTGAATCGGACAGGTATCATCTTTACAAATACCCCAAATACGATTTCGTAGGTAATGTTGCGCGCGTGTTAAAGCTTGCGGAGGCTTGTCCTTTGCTCGAAAGGATTGTTTTTGAAGACATACAAATTGTTTTGATACGTGGCGGGGATGAGCTAAAGTGGGTGTTCAGAAACTTCGGTGATAACGTGGCCTTCGCAAGAGAGAATGAAAACGTTCGCCGTGCTAGTGACCTTGGTTAGTTCCGGTCTTATGTCAAAGAAGCCTTTGATGAAACTTGTTATTGTAGTGCATTAGGACGAGGCCCAAGGTCCGAGTAAATTACTTGTCGTGCTCAGAAACATATATATCGTCGTTCAAATTGCGTTGCGGTTTCGTTGTACGAAAACCTTGAAACTATCTGGATCATGAAAAATCCGCTTGCTGACTGAAGCTTGCGCTGACTGATATGTGACGAATAGTCCAGCTACGGGATATTACTCAGAGTCTCATCTATAATGTCAGCTGCCCCACCTCTCCATTTCTCAGTCAACTTCCGCAACAATGGCGACATCGATTCCTGCAGTATATAAACAGTAGAGCATTTCACAAGAGCTTATCA